TCTGTCATGACTCTGTATAAGTAAAAAAAAACAGGTATAGTAAAAATTACAATTGCATAATGTTGTATAAAATAAAATACAAAATAATGTGTAGAATAATTTACACGAATCGTACCGGAAACATGGACTTCGTTTGAATGATATTAAACTCGTCTAGAAAGTTTCTGGTCATAGCAAGAGCTTCTGACAGAGGTGTATGATCTGCATGGTTGACTGGTGTATGCTTGAGAAGATCCTGAACAAAAAAGTTATCGCTACAAAATTTAAGATAAGATAAAGAGATTGTAACGTAGTGAAGTGTATTTCCACACACAAACACACATACACACACAGATTTGAAATTCGAAGTAGTCTATCACGATTTTAACGATCGTAAAAAATCGTACAGTCTACTGTATATATTGTTATATTTTACATGCTGTAGGTATATATGCGACGAGTTACTTACATGTAAAACTAAAGCGTTCTTTTGCACTCGAGCAACTGGTTTATGTAACAAATCTTCTAGAGACAAACCCGGGCCCTTTGGAAAACTCCTGAGTCTTATATCTCTAGTGATTTCTCCGAATTGAGTGGAATGGGCGGAGCATCGTCGCACGGTATCGGTCGCGCGAGCGTAATTGTGTAAAAACGCACCATATAATCCTATATTACTGGCCATAATCTGAAATCAATAAGTGTAACGTTACGATTTTCTACAGCTTTTACTCCTTTTGTTTACTAATTGTATGTACCTTAAATTGTTCTCCTATAGTAGTCTTACCGTCCCACTTTTCTGTCTTCTTTCGAAGACCATCCAGAAACGTCTGATGCAGAGCATGCAGTTCCGGAATCTTGTAAAACATCGTGCCAAACTCCTCTTCCGAAATGACCGGTTGAGATGTCGTTAAAGTTGCCCTAATAGCTTTCATATACTGTAAAGGCAGGAAAATATTGTGAATAAATTCTTAACATAGAGAATCATCAAGAACTGAATGTTACATATGTACAAGTTACATACTTGTAACATCACAGTTAAGCATTCCACATATACAGCCTCGCTCTCCACTACCGAGTTCACGATACACTTGACCATCGACGTCCTGTCGTCCTCACGCTCCTTGCTCTTTTCTTGTCTGCGCGGCGTCGTCGGGGTCGGTGATTCCAAGCTACCCTCGCTCAAACTTAGCGGTTCGGCGTCGCTGCTGCCAGTTTCATTGTCCGTGCTGAGAGCTCGCAGCAAGATCGGAGGCGCCGGACTAGCACCTTCTTCATCTTCGCTATCCATCGCCGCTCTATGTCTGAAAATAAAATTGTATACAATTATACATATTCTACATCTTAACTCGGGAGTACTCGCGTGTGAATTCAATTAATAAATGTTAACATTATAACTTAAAAACAATGAAATTAAGACGCTCGTACTCCGCGTAGTTAATGAGTCCAATGTGTCAAAATAAACGAGAGATAACAAACGACTTACTGTATAAAATAATCGATGTTGACATAATTACTCTGATTGCCCGGCGAATCTGGTAGCGAGGGTGGTCTTCGAGTTGCTGCCTTGCTATTGCCATTGTTACTGTTGACAGTAGGAACGCGCGCGTCAATGTAAACATATTCCCCATTCTTCCGATGCTTCTGCATCGCCATCTTCGCCATCTTCATTGATAGCCTTTTCTAAGTCTATTTAGCGAACAAGTAGTAATCATCATTTTTTAAATTTTATATGTATCATAAAATAATTTATAATGTATGTAAAATTGATGTAAAACTGATGACAACTGATTTTTATAAAACTTTAAAAATAAATTAAACTATTAACTTCGAATCGTATGAGATGATAAGATTAATAGCGTTTTCGGCTCGGCCGGGTTTACACCATGGATTAATGGCGTTTTGTTTGCTCTCCTATTGATAGAGCGTAACGTTAACCAATAGGAAAGATTAATCCAACCCAGGTTGATGCAAACCCGATCGGGTCGAAAACGTTATAAAATTCATTCTACTTTTTGAAATTTTTTTTCTTTTAATGATTATATATAGATTATGCAACTCCAAAAGTTCAATAAAAACAATTTATGTATGAAAGAGGATACCTTTCTCATCCTCCTCCTTGAGAGATTCTTCATTTTTATCTTTCTTCGAACTTCCGGTAACTTCAATCACTGTAACATAGTTACTTGGCACATCTGGATCACTGTTTCTTCTAAGTTCAGGCACTTTCTCGGGACTCCTTGGTATTTCGCTCTTGGGTCGCTTGCCAGCTGTGCTGAGAGTCGAGCTCAGTTCGGACACACACTTGTCTTGAAACTTGCTGATGTCTTCCCGTTCCGTCAAAGTAGAAGCGGACGGTCCGACGTTCTGAGAACTCGGCGAATTCGGAGAGTCCGCCAAGCTGTTCTCCGATATTTGAGAATCTTGTTGAGACTGCGTTTCCGTCGCCGCTTCCTGTTTAATCTCAGACGTATTCGTATTTACGCTGGTATTGTTAGCCAGCTGTTTGTGTCGCTCGACGTCAGCCAGCAATCTCTCTAAATATTCCACATAAAACTCTTCTTTTTCGAGCTCTTCTCTCAAAGCTGTCACCTATACAGAAAAAAAAATATCGCGTGCTTTGAGAGATATATTCGAAAGATTTCTATAATTTTATAGAAAATAAATCCCATGTGTTTTCAATTTAATTATTTTATATTTTAAGATTATTTCTTATGAAAAAATATTTTATTCTATTTTAAACTTTAATATTAAAAAAAGAATTGTTATGTAATTATATAATTTCCTGCTACTTTTTAAATAAATCCACACTGTTTTTTTAATATTTAAACAAAAATCGGTTAATATGTAATGCTGTGAATTTTTAGGATGACCTAATGTAATAACTATAATCTTTTTTTTTCGGTGTTCGGATAATACAACAGAGATAACTCCGTAATGATTCACAGATATAAGCAGGAAGTCAATGTTTACTATTATTTCTTCTTTCGTTTATTCGTTTACGATCTTATTTTAAATGTTAAAAGGAATGATAATACATTGGTACTCGTAATGTAACAAGTGCTCTGTCATTGACAGGTTTCAGACAATTAATTCGATGAGTCATCAAGTTATGTGAACACGGTGTTAATTGAATTATACATGACTAAGTTTCTATTAAGCGAAGAAATTAAATTCTCCTTGCTATACTTCCTCCTCCATATCAGCATTTCAAGTGTTTCTTCAGAGAATTCTTCACTATCTACTTGAATTATGTACATACATAAACTCTGATCTGACTAATAAATACCTGGTAAATATTGCGACACTTTACTACAGTCACAACCCAGTCGTTACGCAAGGTTGCATCCTCAATCCCAAACTCTATGATAGTCACTGTATTATTACTTTAAAATATTCATTTCCAGCTCTCCCAGGAACTTGATTAAAGACTGGTAAAATAAAAACTCGGCCACTCTGGCCTACGTGATGAATCATCGGACCCCTCCAGGATGTCAATTAAATGAAATAAAACCTCTTTTGCGACACGTACACAAGCGTACACAAGCATACACAGTAGATCGTTCACACGTGACTAATAAACGCTTGGCGAATACATTGCGACACTATCACCAGCCATGCAACGGCAGATTTCACCCTTATTTCATGCATCCTTATTCTCTCACTCCATAATTATTCGTCAAAGCACACCTGCGGTCCTTGCGGTAAGACTCGTCGATAAAAATTACCAACTTCGATCAATCATCGACGCAATACGTTTCCACACTACGGTCCCAAGGGGAGAATCATCATTCTCAGACTCACCTTCTGCTTGTGTTTAACCAGGTTCGCTCTGACATCCTCCTCCCAGGCGGCCGGCAAGGCGCTGTCCGGGAACCGCTGCACCCAGACACGCTGGAAGTCCCCAAACACGCTCATGCCTCCGGACGCGGGTGCACGTGGGGTCGACGGCACTCCTCGTCGGCGAGTCCTCCTTAGGATCCCACCGTCCACTCCTCACCGCGCCGTCGTGCGCATTGCACGGGGGCGCGGCACCACCAGTACCGTCGTCGACGGCGACGACGACGACGACGTCAAGTCTCTCGCTCTATCTTTCTTTCTCTCTCTCTTTCTTCTTGTTCGCCGCACTCACCGTAGCTGCCGCTTCCTGGCGCGGAGCCACGTATCCTCGACTCTGTCGGGCAGCAACGGTGTAACCAGCGTCGTCATACGGCCGCTGTCATCTTGTCGACATCTCCTGCGTAGGTCACGTTCCGATCCCCGTCGCCCGCTGTACGGCCCACCTCCTCCACCTCTCCTGGCGTGCCGACGCCGCCGCCGCTGTCGCTATACCGTATTCGACGTAACTCCTCTCTCATTATGTGCATTTTCTTTGTAAATATAATTTCGTGGATGCTGTTAAAATAGCTAAAAATGATTAAAATTGAACGAATATCAAGCGGCAATTTTGACCACGTGACTTGTTTTGACGTTAAAAATGAACGTCGACATAAAAAAGTACCTTAAAAATATCTTTAAAAGATACCATTACGCGCGATGGAACATTCTACTTTCGAATGTAATTAGTATTCGTTTTTGCGAATATTCTATATTCCGCAACAATAATGATAATATTAACAATTAATAATTGATATTAACCGAAAGTAACGATATATACACAATACAAAGAGAGAAATTTTTCTTCATCATAACTCTGAAAGGATTAACCGTTTTTATTAGTAATAGTAAGAAGACGAGTAAAAGAATAACATAGGGAAAGTAAAATGCCTGCCTTTTTATGATATCGTTACGCGCATCTTTCCTGTATCTAAACTTTCATAAATTTTTCGTGTCCGCGTACCTTCCATTTTGTGCCAGTTTGTGCTTCCCTTCCCGCTGCTTTCTTCGCCGCTGCGTGATTGGTTGACGATCTGTTAGCCTATTGTCCACCGAACGCGATGAGCGACGAGTGGTATCCAATGAAAGCTCTGCTTTTTCTCACGTGATGATGTAAAACAGAATTCTCATTGGATATTATGTAAATTATAAACCGGCCTTAAGTGATGTGACATAACCTATGTGCATGATAAGTGCGCAAATTTAGTGCTAATAAATCAAAAGGAAGGATTGAAGGCTTCTTAAACTCCTTTCACTCCTTTCAAAGGTAAATTATAAAAAAAAAACGCGTAAATTTCTTTAGTTACGAGAAAAATGTACGATTTATAATTAATCTTGTGTAAACTTGTGTATAAAAAAATTACATTATAAATTGGCTTATACTTCTGTTATGCATAATGTTATAATTGTAGTATAATTAATATGTTAATTACTTAATCTAATGTATTAGAGGTTTTTTCTCTGCTTTTATCTAATATTTTTATACTCTTTTTTACAGCGTGTAAACACTGTGAACAATATTATAATTGTTAAATCTATAAATTTGAATTTGTATATAAGTGATAAAATACACAAAATGGCACAGGGAAAGCTTAAAGTTAAGACGAAGCTGCCAACATCAATAAAGACGAAAGCCAATAAAAACAAGGGCAAAAAGGGCCCTGCTATTCAAAAACGTGGAAGTAAGTGACAATAAGAAGACAAGCTTTTCTGAATTAAATATAACAATATCATCTCCTTATTTCAAAAATGATACAACTCAAGAAATATGATTTTTTAATTATTACCATGAATGAGTAGTAACAATTCTATTAATCGTCAAAAGTAAACTAACTTGATACTTTATAATTTTTCTCTAAATTGCTTGTATTTTTATTTGATAGTCAATAATTTTCTATTAAATTTTTCCTTTCTGTGAAAAACTTAATTTTTGATATCACTTTTGAAGTAAGGGAACAATATTATTTTAATATTAAGATAAATAATATATGAATTATTTTCTCAAAGATGCCCCTGTTCAACCTAAGAAGGTAAAGTTGCAGGAAGTGCAGAAATTGAAGAAGATGATCTCAAGAACTGTGAATACTGCAGTGGAAGATGAGATACGAGAGAAAGCTTTAGGGGGAAGGAAAACTCTCACAAAAAAGAATCCTTCTAATTCGAAAAAACAATGATATGTTAATTGTTGTAATATTTGCATATATCAATAATGTATTGTTGTATATATATATTTTTTTTTTAATTAAGCAGTGTTATTCTATTTGAGATTGTCTATTGAAAAAGGGATATGGTCAAGTGAGATGTGAATTTCTTTTTGTTTATTGCACTCACATAACTGAAGCTTAACTTATATTTAAATAATTTACTTCATAAATTACTGACAAGTGAATTCGCCTATCCTATCGATTTTATCTTTATTTCTATCAAAATAAATATTGTTTAATAATATTACCTAATTTACAAGGAAATATTATACAGGAGGCCCCTATGGCACTCTGCGCCTTTCATATTTGAAACAATAAGAGTTTGACGTAATCGGTACGTCGGAATGAAAGACCTATGTATTGTCATTTTATCACCTTTTCGTTCAAAATTGCCGGCATAATTTAAACATGTATTAAAGTCTCATATATTATCTCTTCTCGATGTTTCGTTGTATTTTCTAGATCACATTGTGTTAATGCTGCTTCATGTATCATAGCACCAGTTCGTCCATTTCCCGAGAAATTCTCCTGTTTGGAATAATTTTACGGGGAAGCGACCTGAAATTTAGCAGTTTAAAACAAGTGCGAGGGAAAAATGATTGCTCGAAAAGATTAAAATCATTTTAAATTTCTTACTACTAATAAATGCCCGCTCTGTCGATTTTTACTGATTGCGGGAGTGGCACCAGTCCTAACTTCAATGACTCCCTCCTTACCACTGACTAGTTTATGGGACACACTGGAACATGATATTACAAATATTAGTAGAATTAGTATAAAAGCAGCAAATAATAAATTGATTAGTTGAATTAAATTGTAAACAAATTTATTACTAAATATAAAGGAATAAATATAATACATAAAAATCTGAAAAATACTTACGATTCAGTATTGACGATCTTAAGAATGTTCGGATTGTTAGTAATATCAATCGCTTTCGTCAATGCTTCTATTAAATGCGGAACTTCTAAGATCAAGTCACCCTGTAAACAGTAGTGCGTGGAAATATCTTATATTTATTATCTTTTTATTAATTTTAATAATTTCCTAATTACTAACTCCCTTAATTAAATTACTTTTTATATTTAATTTTGCTCATTTCAGTTATAATTGCTGAATATTAAATTACTTTCTTATTAAATAATTGATTAATTTACATTTTTATTACTGCTTATACATTTATATCATTTTACTATTAACTTGAAATAATTCGCCTTATTTAGAGTTAAAAATATTAAGAGGTTTGAAATTTAAGTTATAAAAACCTTATCCTTTTTCAGTTCAGGTGGTATCCTAACGATGAGTAAATTATCCGATTCCCCGGTGACAACCAACTCTTTGATAGCCTTGTAAGGCAGGCGATGCTTGAGCTTGAAGGTCTTAAGTGTGTCGAGAATATATACGGCATTCTCTGTTAAAATAAGCACTCTCTCGCGTGGCTTATACCCGTGCCGATCGTATTTAATGACGGGAGTGGCGTACTAAAAATATGAATTTTAATTTATATTTCTATTTTATCGAATTATAAATACGAAAATATGTAATACAAAAAGAAAAATAAACGTTGCAATATTTTTCAGTGATTTATTTTTACCTTTATGTTTTCTCCGGAAGTTAAAATATTGTTGATAAAGCTCTGTCGCAGTGCTTTGTACTCATCACCAAGACGATCGGTTACAAATTTCGGACCTACACTCTTCGCATAAGATTTCTTCTTATTCTTGAATAGAGACTCCGCGAGAATCTTCAACTCAAAGTGTTCCTTATCTTCCTTATTTAATGTCATTCGATAACAACGAGCTTTCCATCGCCTGTGCATTACATGTAAATGCTCTGACGCCTGTATCATATGAACGTTATTAATCATATCGTATCACATTAATTTAATTGTATAATTATACAGGCATAGTTCCCATTTCCCTGAGAACTTTTATATAGATATAGAATTTTTATATAGATAGCTGAACTATTTCTTATTCTTATTCCATACCTCTTGACAAGAATATGGGCATGGCGGCCAATATTTATTTAAGACACCCGGTGGCAATGTTTTCGAAAGTCTAATGAGCCATTGCGATTTTGCCAATTCGATAAATGCCTTGTTAATTTCGGTAGGCGGTCCATCTCGTGTGATGAAGCCTTCAATAAATCTGTATCAATACTATCAATTTAGCACAGTAAATATATAAATATAACTTTATAAATATATAATATAGAATATATAATATTATAGTATATGTATGTGTATAATATGGAACAATGTTAAATATGAAATACATAGACACGTTTTATTATAGAAAGAAAGAACAAGACTAAAGGAGAAATACCTGCGGACGGTGGTAACCGCCTGTTGTCGTTTTTTGGCTTTGCGTTTTGCAAGCCATCTGCGAACATTTTTCTGGAAAACGATCGCTGCTTCTCGCATCACTAAATATTTCCTCCTCATTAATATAGCTTTCCATTTACTCTGGATAATAGCGGCTATTTCGTGTTTCTTTATTTGGAACGCATCCTCCGTGTCGAATAACGTTTTAGGAAAACGGATGAACAACTTTGTACTGTAACGAATTTTAAGAATTTAACAAATATATAATTATTTTTAACAATTTATCGATCATTATTTTTAAAATTTGATTGTTCTCAATTTGCAAAACATTTGAATTGTAATGTAGGTATAACATGCTTAAGGCTAATGATAATCGCGCGATCTTACTTTCCCATTCTGTACTCATCGCGCTCGTAGCCGAGATGACACACAAGTGTTTGCACGCCTTCTTTTGCCGGGCCGTAGTAATTCGGCCAAGTTTCCGAACAGAGGCACTTGTAACGCTGCAAGAATTGCTCGTACGGTCTTCGATATGCAAAACCGGCACGTCTCACTCGCAGATTCTCCATCAAACCCAAATACTGCACTTGATGCAGCACGATCTTTTCGTTGAATTCATCTGAAAGCGAAAGCTTCAATAGATTTTTTATCTCAAATTTTTAAAATCTTTTTATTCTCTTCCTTTTCCCTTCCCCTTCTAGACAAATTGGACAAACAAAGAAATTAAATAATTTATATTTTTTATACATTATTTATTGAATTATGTAAATACTCCATATTGAGCGTTACTGATGCTTTATTTCAATTTTATCTTATATCTACTTACGGGCCATCTTAAAATCGTTAGGTTTGATGCAACGAATGTAAGACGGTTCTTTACCCATGAGAATTTCAACCAGATTATTTAAACTGTTTTTAAATTGAGTTATGGCAGTCTCTGGCCGTTTCTTACTGGTTAAATCTTTCACATCAAATACAGTCTGTAAGCAACAAGAAATTGCAAAGATTATTGAAAATATTTAAAACTAAACCAAAGAAAATATTTTTAGAAAAAAGTATATACGAGAGAAGTTGAAGAAAAACACTTTTGCAAAGTTTAATTTTTAAGACTTGAGAACAATTTAAAAAATGTTACTCATCTTTAAAGTTTACAAATAGATTCTTTCCTATGAAAAAATTAAATAGTTACCTTTGTGATGGAATTCGTAGTATGCGACATAACCTCACGTAAATCTCGAAATAGTAAATCATTATTTTTCTCGAGAAATCCGCGTACATTGTATGTAACATCGCCAGCGTAATGCACTAATCTGAATTCCTGAAATGTCAAGCTTATTCTTATTTTCTTAATTTTGTTTGACAAATAATTATTGTAATAATTATTATAATAAATATAACGCAAGTAAGTTAACATCAAATATATATTTATACATAATTGAATAAATTAAATTAATTTAATGAAAATAAAATACTGAAATAATAAAATAAATAATTTAATTCTTTCTACAGTGTTTCGAGATATTATATATTACTATTCATAATTTAGTTTAATATTTTATGGTATAGAATTCTTACGTCTCGTCCCATAATTTTTTGCGTTTTTATGTCAGCTTTCTGATGGCTAACGTAGTGAGGATGGTTGTTCAGATTTACATTCAATTTCTCCAAGAAACTCATGTCCGTCGTGTCTCCAGGTCGCAAACACTCTTCGTCCATTAACGATATTATTCCTGCCATATTAAATATTTAATTAATAATGTACATGTGATTGCGAATGTGGAGATTAGTCGAATTTTATAAAAATTCAACCTTTATACTTCTCTTCAATAAGATCGCAGATGATCTTGTTATTAAAATAATCTATGTTCTCCCAGGTTATCCCTTCGCGCAAATATTCTTCCTGTTCTGACTTCAATGTCAGTTGGATAAACAGCTGTTGCAATTTCTCGTTGCAAAAATTAATGCAGAACTGTTCAAAACTGTTGAAGAGTAAGGAAAGAGAAAATTATCGTTAATTGAACATGATCACCACGTTCGTATCATACATGTATACTGGTGATAAATAATTTTTGTTAAAAAATTCTATTCCTCAAACCAAAACATCAATTTATAAAAATTAAAAGGTATATTTAAAATAATAAAATTATAAAATAAACTTTAAAAATCACGAGAAAAATGGATTTTTCTGAAACTATTATTTATGACACTCGTAATATTTTCATAAAATCTTTGAGCGTACGTAATTGCTATTCGACAGTTACCTGTTCTTCTGAAAGATTTCAAAGCCGTAAATGTCCAAAATGCCCATGACCATTTTGCGTCGAGGATTAGTCTGAGGCTGTAGAGATTTGTTGAGTCTGGTCACGAGCCAGGTGAATAATCTGTCATACACGGCCTTCGCTAGCGCGTCTCTCGCATAAATAGCCAATTCCCTATTCAAGGGTGAAACCACCACGTCACCGTGAGCATCTATGGTGCGATGAGTAAATGCCTTTGATAGTCGCTTCACGTCGCATCCTAGCAGCTATTCAATTAAGAAATGTGACATCCAGCAATTTGCAAGTAATACATTTACGAAAAAATTTGCGTAACAAAATAATTAGAAAAAAAGATTACGTAATGAAATAATAAAGAAAAAAAACATAAAATACTAATAATTATAACA